AATGCAGGGACCCTTTTTCCAACTGGATCCCTGCTCTTTTTCGCCCTCATGTCCCTCCGTTGTCGCACAAATTTTCCACTTCCTCACTGCCTCAGGCGTTTCAAGACCCACAGGTAGTTCATGATTGTTCCTCTTGCGTTGTGGCATGGAATAACATAGAGCAGAACAGGCTTCAAATTGGTCATAAATCAAAAATATCTGCGTCAAGAGACGAGGCCCAAAATTCTACATTTCATTAGGAAAACTTTGTGTAGACAAGACATTGGGGTCTCTCCTCTCTGCTTCCATCCAACTCTGCTCATGTTATTATCCAGATTTCCTTTAAGCAAAGCAAAGCTGTGCAAAGTTAAAATTGTCAGCGGAAAAGCATTAAAAAGCGTTAAAACACCCAGTTTCTTGAAAAGCTCTATGAAACTTAACCATAATACCTGTATGATTTCCTGTAGATATATTTGGGTTTTCTGATGTTGTGCAACTTTAATATATTTATTGCCCTCCCCAGTACAGTTGGTAAATATTTTATTTAATCAGATAATATTCAGACTGTCATATATTGTTTGTGAACACGTCCTACTGCAACGACAAATGAAAGTGTGAATGGAGCTCAAATCATGGTCTCTGTTCTGCCTGGGAGGAATTTCAAAATCGTCCGGGATTTTGGTCAACTACAGTGCAGCAGAACCAAGCCGTGAGCTCCGGGGCTGGTCGGGGAACTCCAGCGGACGCGGGAGGGAGCCAGCGGGGGATGAAGCGACCAAACCTGACTCGGTGACGGTAGCCGCGGCCCCATGCTTCCCCTGCCTACTATGCCCGCTATTTATAAATAAATAAAGTTAAAGAATGTAGCAGACAATAAATAATTAAGGTAATTATTACAAGGCAAATAAACAAAGAAGCTAATTAAAAGATATATATATATATCTATGTCTCGCTATATAATTTAATTTCTACCTACATTTATTTGTCAATTGTTTTTTCGGGGGGCAGTTAATTGTATGCTTATTTATTTTTTGACCATTTTTTTATTTCTGTACTTACTTTTAATTATGGCAAGATTGGTCCTCCTTAGTAAACACATGAGATGATCAAAAATAATCATATTTGTGACTTGAGCATCTGTCCCTAAATTTTCCAGAACATCAAACCACCGTTGATCTCCATATGGAAGGCATGAGTTTCCCTCAGCATTTAGTGTTAGCATCTTATCATGGCAGGCCCAAAGCAAGGGAGTTGTTTTGTTCCAGCCAGGTACATATCAAGGGAAGTTGTTACTTTTTTCTTAAAGGCCAAAACCCCCCCCATTCCGAATTTGCGTCTGATCAGACAGGGAGTTGTGTTGGACGCGGTCGTAGCATTTAGCAATTATTGTAAGTCGATGGGGGTGATCACACCTGACACGATTTTATGCAAGGGGCCTTGCAGAGGTATATTTTAGTTGTTCAACACAGCAATTTAGGTCTGACAGGAAGAGAGGGCAGGATCCATTTTGGGGGAAAATACAAAACAAAAAATGTTAATCGCATGGGGAAAGAGTCAGTATTTTAGTCATATATAGTAAGCGGGACAGACTCATGCAAAAAAATAAATACATGAAACATTAAAAACAATATTTTAGCCATGATAGAAGGACAGAAAACGGATAAAGTAGTGATCGTCTTTGATAAACTGCACTCTCCGTTTTTGCAAGACTCAATCTTCTTTAACAAAGAAAAAGGAACTTCAGGAGGGGAAAAAACAGATATAGTATAAAAGTGATTCTCTTTTAACCTCACAAACAAAATAAGAGGGGAAGACAGATCAGGTAAGCGCGTTGTATCTGTCTCACCTCTTTATGTAAAAAAGAAAAAAAAACTTTGATAAACTTCACAGATTTCTCTCTGAAAATCACCTCACTGTCTGAGTACGCATGTAAACCACACCATGGCCTTTATTGCTGTGTTTTTCTTTACTTTAGACGTAGATCTCATAATATTTTTAAAGGTATACTATGCAACCAGGGTTGATTTTCCAGCGAGGCTCCCCCAAGAGGGCGAAAGTAAAAGTGCACTGTCGTAAATATGCTAAGCTGTTCTCCTGGTTTCTCCGTCAAACCAGGCACGGTTGTTTTGAGCTTAGCAGACAGGCGAACGCAACAAATCAAAGTATGAATATGCACACAGAGAGAGAGAAACCATTCCAAAGTTACTTACAATCGCATCAGCAGAAACGCGAGGTCGGCATCACACTTGCAGCCCTTTTTTCTTTTAGCTCTCGCCATTCGAAAAAAGCTTGCCCGAGGTTCACCCGTGTACGACTCCTCTCTCTGTCCAGAGCCCTTTTCCTCTTTCTTGCCTGCTCCGACATGGGCTTTCGCTGTTTCCTCGCTGGTTCCGCCATGATAACTGCACAAATATCGCCACTGTGCTAGCAACGAGCATGCTTTTAACTGGGGGCGTGTAGCAGTTCTCGCCGTAAAGCAAGACCGACGACCGACTCTCGCGAGACTTCTGAGCCTGTGGGTGCGGGCCGAGGGCTCCTGCAATTGCAAGTGCGGTATTTCCCCCACAGACCAGCAGGGCAGCCGAGAATACCATTGCTCAACCTGAAATGACTCATTTAATCATCCAAAACGTTATGGAACACATTAATTAACTGAAAAATGTTGCATAGTATGCCTTTAAAATAACTTTTCATGGTCTGTCCAAGTCAGATGTGGGTTATTGTATTCATTTGTGTATAGCACAGAGGCAAAGTGAAAAAAATTTGTGCAGATCCGCCCACCCCAGTCAGATCCTCTCTATACACAGTGTGACGTGGAAAAAAATTGTATCAGAGATTAAAAAGTCGTATGCAATTGGTATGTTCAAACCTTAAGGCTCCCACCTCCAGTCAGCATCTGGAAGTTTTGAAACTGAGAAAAAAAAAAAAAAAAAGTCTGTTTGGCAGCAAATCTGTATTGATGTTTGCCATCACAACTTGGCATCTGGTCAGTTTGCAGCGTCTCTCCACTAGGCATGAGCCATGATGGTGGCTTCCATGATGACTTACTCTCCAATGTGTACCCAAAGACACCTGGAGGAGAAGAACAGTCACGTGCGGAAGCTGTTCCTGGACTTCAGCTTTCAACACCATCATCCCACAAATTCTAATAGGCAAACTGGAACAGCTGGTCTTCCATACACCTCTCTGCAATGGACTGATAGACTTCCTCACAGACAGACCCCAGACAGTCCGGGTCGGACAGAACACCTCTGAAGTCTTAAGCACAGGCTCCCCCTAAGGCTCCCCCTTGTCCTGAGCCCCGTGATGTTCACTCTGATGACACACGAATTCATCCCTAGGTTCACCACCAATCAAATCGTGAAGTTCGCAGACGACACCACGGTGGTGGGACTTATCAGAGGCGACAACGATCAGGACTACAGAGAAGAGGTGGAGCAGCTGTTGGGCTGGTGCAGAGACAACAACCTGATCCTGAATGTGGAGAAGATGAAGGAGATTATTGTTGACTTCAGGAAGAACTGGCCCAACCACGCTCCACTGCTCAACAGCTCAGCTGTAGAGGTAGTCAACAGCACCAAATTCCTAGGGGTGCACATCACAGACACCCTTACCTGACTGGGAACACCACCTCACTGATCAAAAGGGCACAGAGGCGATTGTACGTCCTGTGGAGGATGAGGAGAGCCCACCTGCCCCCACCCATCCACACGACCTTCTACAGAACCATCATAGAGAGAGTTCTGACGAACTGTCTAACTGTGTGCTGTGGAGGTTGCAGTCCCTCAGACTGAAAGAAGGTGAGGAGAGTAGTGAGAACTGCAGAGAGGATCATCGGGGCTCCACTCCCCTCCATAAAACCCATTTCATCCCAGCGCTGTGTCCCAAGCCCGTAACATTATAAATGACCCCTTATCTCCCTACCATTGACTGTTCTCTCTGCAGCCTTCTGGGGACGAGGCTTTGAAGCATCCAATGCAGGTCCATCAGATTCCAGGACAGCTTCTTTCCCACTGTCATTACACCGCTGAATGTTATATAAAATGCGGTTAAAAAAAAGCACTGAATGCTGGAAACTGTAAATATTATAACGGTCTCATGTTTACATTGATCACCCTATTTACATTTTGTCACTGATTCTTACGTTTTGTCACTGCTGCACTTTAAAAAATGGAAATGTCTTGAGTACTGTACTTAATGAAATTTCGTTTTGTATACACTCTGTTTTTAAAAAAGGACAATAAAGTCTGTCTATGTCTTCATGGAAAGAGAAATAAATCCTCTAAATGGTGTTTTCTGACCCAATGCATGGAGGAGTGTCTTTTGACACTGCATTGCGGGAGGGAGCTCTGCAGCAGTTAATTTATTCAGCTAACTGTATCCTCCAAACCCTTTGGTAATGTTAAACATCTGCATGAACATTGGTCCAAAGTTAATACTATGGTTTATGGATCAACTCTTTTATTTGGTCAATTTATAGGGAAAGATAAGTAATGGCATTCCTTTAATGAATTGAAAGCCATACAATATTAGGCATATATCTCTGCTTTTTTTTTTAATTCTTCCTTATTAGTGGCATATTTCAATAATTACTTTGTGTGCAATGGTTAGAAGTATATGCAAACAGAAATGTTTAAGTTATTAGGAAAAAAATATTGTCAAACTTTTCTTTCATCTGCTGTCTACTTCCGTCTCCTTGAACAGCAGTCGGCCTCGGCAGATGGTCTGATTCTGCTGGAGGTTTTTTCCTGTTAAAGGGATTTTTTCCTCTCCAATGTTGCTACAAGCATGCTTAGGGTGAGGGATTGCCTTCGAGTCGATGAATCGATGCAATCAACCTGTTTTCAATAGATAAACCTTGAATCAATTTGACTGTATGATCTGTTTGGATTGTAAAGTGCCTTAATGTGTTGTGAATTGCGCTATATAAATAAACTGAATTTAATTTAATCTCTGTTAATTTTAGTCTTTCAGAACTTTAATTTGTTTTCTTATTGAAGATAATTTTCTATTTTTTACAGGTCTGACAACTGAGGGTCTTTATCGTGTGAGTGGAAACAAGACAGACCAAGATAACCTTCAGAAACTATTTGATCAAGGTAAACTTAGACATTTTGCTTGGATATATCTTTATAGCTACACCTCCATTAGACACTTTTCCTGTGGCTTAAACATATCTCTATGATCTGGTGAACTGTAAAGTGCCTTGAGATGATGTGTTGTAAATTGGTGCTATATAAATAAACTAAATTGAACTGAATATGCATGAAAGACTTAGATTTATTTGTCATTTTGTTTAAACAAGTGTAAAACAAAAAGAAATTTCATTTCAAACAGCTCGTCTTTTTTAAAGCTCACACATCTAGGTGAAGGTCACACACTGGACACAGCTCTAATAATTTAGGACTGTTGAGATTTTGACTTATACTAATACTTTAAAAAAGGTTACATCACCAATAACTTTTTGTTCCCCTACGAAGGTGTTTTTATTTTTATAATTTTTTTTGGCCAGGCTAATTCTGTAGATGATGTGATAAGTACATTTAAAATCCTTGGAGTAGTTTTTCTGAAGCCCACTCATCAAGCACATGGTGCAATGTTGTTTCATGCAAAGCCACACTGCACTGCCACCACCAAGTAAACCTTATTGCCCGAGATCCAAGAGGAGCAATGTGGCTTTCAGCCTGGCTATGAAAATATGTAACAGGACCTTTTTACTCTCAAAACTGCTGAGGGGTTCATGTTTTTTCTGTCTGTATTTAGTTTTGTAGGTCAGAATAAGGCCTACAACCATGTTCACAACGGTATGATGTGGGGTATACATTGAGACTCTTAGCGACTTTAGAGGGCAATTTTCTTTGTACGCCTAAATCAAGGACTGATCCTGCAGTTCATGTTAGAATTCAGTGTTTCAACTAGTCACTGTCTTATCTTTGTTAATCATGCACAAAATTTCAGTGAGAAATTATGGAAAAGAATCTCTTTGCCTTTCACAGACGTGGATCGTAAGGCCAGTATCTCCAGTCTGCGCTGGAGTGGTTCAAGTGAAATTGCAAGGATGAAAGTCAGTTCCTTTAAGTTTAAGGCAATTGGGCCTAGTGCCACAACATTTTTTATTCTTGTCATAAATTTCTCTTACCTACTCTCCAACATTAACTTCAGTTAATGATCGTAAATATTCATTGTAAACGTGATGCAGTTCACCTGTGTGTAACTGAGTACGCGTTTCTAAAAAAATGTAAATCTGAATTAAAGCCGCAAGCAGACGTTGGACGGCCCTCACGGCTCAGCATGACTTCAGCTGCAATAAAGCAGGTACTGCGCTAGTCTATGGTGTTAAAGAAAGAGTTGAATCAAATAGCAAATGACCCCCTCTTGGCACCTGATATGGCCCACCGTGTGAATACCAGGGGAAGATCCAGCCCTCACCTGAAGGACTATATATCCCCTGAATGTCTGTAGGTCCCCTAAAATGAACAAAAGCAAGTTGCTGGGAAATGGGATGTTGCAAGAGCTCCCCTGATTTCCTGAACCTGGTTTCCAGGCAACATGATCTAAAATAAGCGGAAGAATATCCATTGCTAGATGGATGTATATTTAGATTAACAGATTGAAATAAAAAAGAGACACAGAAAAAAATTGCCTTTTATTTTAAAGAATTTGTTGTTGAGTACTGTTTTTCTGTTTGTTTTTTCTCCAACCAGTTTGTTATTTGATTCTCAGCAAATGATCCATTATCAGTTATAGACTGAAAGCCCTAAAACACAGAAACCCATCTCCCCTTCCTGAGCAGAATCAGTCTGGCAGATAACCGTATAAGATTCTCTTCACTTTTACATCTGTGGTCATAAAATCCTTTTTTGCAACTGGTTTTGCGGTCTATCAATCCATCTTCTTCTGATTATCTGGCGTCAGGTCGCATGGGTAGCAACTTCATTAGGGAGGCCCAGACGTTCCTCTTCCCAGCCACTTGGGCCAGCTCCTCCAAGAAATCCCAAGTCATTCCCAGGCCATCCGTGAAATACATTCCCTCCAGGGTGTCCTGGGACTCCCTCTGGGTCTCCTCCCAGTGGGAAATGCCCAGAACACCTCACAAGGGAGGCATCCAGGAGGCATCCTAAGCAGATGCCCGAGCCACCTCACCTGCACCTCTCGACTTGGGGGAGCAGTGGCTCTACTCTGAGTCCTCCCTGAATGACTCCTCACCCTATCTCGAATGGAGAGCCCAGACACACTATAGAGAAAACTAATTCACCTGCTTGTATCTTGTTCTTTCAGTCATGACCCAAAGCTCATGACCATAGATGAGAGTAGGAATGTAGATCGACCCGTAAATCGAGAGCTTTTCCTTTTAGCTCAACTCTTTCTTCACCACCACAGACCGGTACAGCACCCGCTTCACTGCACTAATCCGCCTGTCGATTTCCCGCCTCATCTTCCTCTCATATGACCCCAAGATACTTAACATTTCTTCACTAGGGGCAGTACATCCTCCCCAACCCGGAGAGGGAACTTTACCCTTGTCAGGCTCAAGATAATGGTCTCCGATTTGGAGGCTCTGATCCTCATCCAGGCCGCTTCACACTTAGTTGCAAACCACTCCAGTGAGAGTTGTAGATCAAGCCCTGATGAAGCAAAAATAATCACTTTATGAATAGCAGAGACGCAGTCCTAAGGCCACCTCAACACCTTGGCTGCACCTAGAAATTCTGTTCTTAAAAGTTGTATACCTTTAGGTCATTCAGAGACGAAGAAGAAGATCACAGGCTTCCAGCAGAAGAATGATCAGACAGATGGAAAGTCTGGACAGAGCCAGTGAACTGAATACATTTTTCAGTAGATTTAGTTTAGAAACAAACTCAGCATCCCTATCTTTTGCCCACAGTCACATAGACACCCTGCCTTCCTCTGCCATTGACTCTCCCTTGGTTCTATGATTTTTTTTGTCAGTCAAAAAAGAAGATGGTGCTGCTCCCTCCACCTTTCACATATGTCTCTATAAACTAAGTGAAGAGACTTAATCGTAATAAGTCGCCAAGTCCCAATGGTGTCAGCCCCAGAGTACTAAAGGCATGTGCAGAGCAGCTCGTGGTATTCTACATCACCTCTTCAACATTAGACTGAACCAGGAGACAGTTCCAGTGATGTGGAAGACTTCCTGACTTAGCTAACTATATTAATAGACTTGTTGCTCTGACATCCCATATCATTGTCCCAGAGAGACTTCGGTTGGCTCACCTCAGCAAACAAACAAGCAGCTATCAGGACTCCCTGTTAAAACTGTCATGCCAGTGTCCTTATCGCCTTGGAGTTGAAGTCAAAGATGCCATCATACACCTGCTTCAAAAAACCCACTGTAATTTAGGGAAGGCAGACAGAACTGTGATGATTGTGTTCTTTGATTTATTTAGTGCATTTAATACAATTCTGCTTGACTTGCTTTCTGAGAAACTTCAGAAGAGTCAGGTGTAGGCATCAACAATTGCCTGTACTGTATCAGAGACTACATGTTTTTTGACTTAAGGGTCAACTGTCTAAAAGATTTTATTTTTAGGTTATATTGTCCAGCCCTATGACAATAGAGCTTTTTCAGTCAGAAGCTCCTCCAGATCCAGTGTCTGACAGACTACTCCAGCAGATCCTTCCTGCCTACAGCTATCAACACCTACAACTAATCAAAGAAATAGCAAAACAAAAAAGTAGCTCCTTGAGCATTTTATTTTTTACTTTGGGATTAATGAAGTAGTTTTGAATTGAATTTTACTTGTCCTTGCATTTTAAGTTTTCTTTTTTTTTTTTCTTCTCATGTCTTGCCACATACATTTCTTCTAGTGGAAAGGTGTTACATTAACACAAAATGTTAGATAGGGAAATTGCCTCAAAATTAAAAACTTGAGAGGTTGTTCCCTTTAGTGTTTTGTCCTGTCTGTAAGTATTTTATGTAATAAGATTTTAAATTAAATCTTGACAATCTATGAAATATACTGCAAAAGCAAACTACAACTTTAAAAGATTCCTGAGAGATCCCCCTAAGAGCAAAGTATTTTCGAAACAATCTATGTAAATACACATTTTTGGTTGATTCTTCTCAAAATATTTTTGGAGAATATTGAATGAGATTCTCCAAAAATGAGTGTGTAAACACATCTTAGACAGGTGTGCAAACGTGGCTAAGAGCAAAATGTAAGGACCCTTGCGAATCATCTACTGATTCATCTTTTTCCTTTGGGTAGATCACAGCATTGATCTTGGGCAGATGGACGTCGCTGTGAATGCTGTAGCCGGAGCCCTGAAGGCTTTTTTTGCTGACCTACCCGACCCACTGATCCCTTACGTTCTTCACCCAGAGCTAGTGGAAGCTGCAAGTAAGACATTAAAGACAAAGTAGATATTTAAATTCTGGTTTGTTTTTACCTGATGTTCAACTCAAGTCTAATAAACAGTAATGGTAGACAAATTCTCTATTTCTGGATAAGGTAAGAAAGTCTTGAAGGCCTTTCTGTATGTCTCCAGGAATAGTCAACTTTACATGTGAATCATAAAAAAGAAATTGAAAATATACATTTTAATCTTGCAGTACCTAACACAAAATACTAAAAACAGTGCAATATTAAACTTTTCTTCTCCAGTATATAATTTCACTCCCCAACTCACAAGCTTTGTAAATTAAAACATGCTTTATCTCCCTCTGTATTTGTGTTTTGGTTAGAAATCATGGATTACATCGAACGGGTGCAGGTGTTGCGAGAGATTGTGAAGAAGTTTCCTTCAATCAACTACCAGGTCTTCAAATACATAATTACACACCTTAACAGGTAAAAAAAACCTACATTTTGCAAAATAAGCAACAAAAAACTTTCAATAATAAACCTAGGCAAACAATGAGATGCATTTAAAGGGATCCACAATAAGTTGAACGTGTTTGCCTGAAAATATTGTACTTTAAAAAATGCATGTGACACATAAATACTCAATTACTTTAAAATGTATATATCGTTTTTTACATTTTTACCCATGGAAGTCAGCAGCAAGGCTAACAAGGCTAGAGGTGCATTCAGACCGAGCGCTGTGCACAAGGTGAGGGTGGTGGACTTGCACAGTATCCCTATGCAAACCACACGGGGACTAAGCCAGCAGTGAATCCCAGTGGTGAATCCCACACTTTTCTACTAGATAGAACTGAGGTGTTGTCAAACAGCTGCACCGTGTGGAGAGAGCGAAGTGTTGACTGCTGAATCTGAAGTTTTTTTGTGAAACCGTGTCACAGCAACCAATCAGTGACTGGTTGTGAAGTAGGTTAAAGAATTGCTGCCGAGGCAAAGCTTTTTTAAGGCAAAATGGAAACTAGTGTTATAATAATGTTAAAGGATGAAATTAGCAATGCTATAAAGAGGTTTTTAGGTGACCTTTATAAAAGCCGTTTTAATTTAGCCATAGGACTCTTCGTCTTCCTCCCATACCTTCAGCAAGGACTCTGGTCTGTCATTACCCACTCCCAGCACACCTCCTTGTAATACTACTAGGAGGTACCACCGAATCCCACCGTCATCCAGATGCAGCTCTGGGTGAACCAAAGTGTTCTACTTTTTCAGCACCTCTGGGTTTTTTCAAAGAATCCTTGTTTTCCCCAAGCCGATATAAAAGTTGTGCATAGAGAACAATGTAGCAGAGGTCTGTGTTGTTACGTTTTGCCTGTGATTTTATTGTGAGCGAGACCTTGATAAGAAATGTTATGGGGTTGCTCAGGGTAATTGCAGGAAGGCTGATGAACTAGTAAACAATGTGAAACATTTTTCCACAGTTTTATCTAGTAGCAAAATGTGAATGTGTGAGAGCATTCCACTTACTTAATAAGTTAAAAAAGCCCACTGTTATTTTCAATGCCAGTGTAAGAATCTTGTGTTGTGCAGTAACTTCATATTCTGTTACAAGCACAGCACTAACAGCTGTTGGGATGGTGACATCATTGGCCAAAATTAAAAGTGATTCCATCTTAAAAACCCTATCAGCACAAACGACAGTTTTACCTGCTCAAATCAAGTATCACTGAAAAAAATATATAATTTTTATTTAATTAAAAATGATGGTTGTCCTTAGGCCTTGGTGATGAACCAGATTTTTACTGGTACCACCATTCACTACGATAACTAGGGATGGGCATCGAAAACCGGTTCCTGTTTAGAACTGGTTCCGTGTATTCCAATTCCATGGCACCGTTTGGCAGCTCGCTTAACGACTCCAGACAGCACCAGAGCCTAGCTCTGGGCAGCATGACTTGCGTTTTTTACGCAGGTTAAGCACACGGCATTCAGTAAGAAAATACGACGTGACCAGGCTCGAGTCTAGAAAAGCTAGGGCCGGGCGATAATTCAATAACGATATATATCGATCGATAGACGTGTGGCGCAATAGAAAAAAAGAGTCGATAAAAGTTCGATAAAGAAACGCAGTTTTCCTTCCTTCTCAT